AAAAACTCAGGACTAAACCAGGACTAAACCAGGTCTAAAACCAGGACTAAAACCAGGACTAAACCAGGACTAAAACTAAAATCAGGACTAAACCAGGACTAAACCAGGTCTAAAACCAGGACTAAAGCAGGACTAAACCAGACTAAACCAGACTAAAACCAGGACTAAAAATCAGGACTAAACCCAGGACTAAAGCAGGACTAAACCAGGTCTAAAACCAGGACTAAACCAGGACTAAAGCAGGACTAAACCAGGGACTAAAACCAGGACTAAACCAGACTAAAGCAGACTAAAACCAGGACTAAACCAGGACTAAACCAGGGACTAAACAGGACTAAACCAGGACTAAAACCAGGACTAAACCAGGACTAACCAGGACTAAAGCAGGACTAAACCAGGACTACTAAACCAGGACTAAACCAGGACTAAATCAGGACTAAAAGGACTAAACAGGACTAAAACTAAAACAGGACTAAAACCAGGACTAAACCAGGACTAAAACCAGGACTAAACCAGGACTAAACCAGGACTAAACCAGGACTAAAACCAGGTCTAAAACCAGGACTAAACCAGGACTAAAGCAGGACTAAACCAGGTCTAAAACCAGGACTAAAACCAGGACTAAAGCAGGACTAAACCAGGACTAAAATCAGGACTAAACCAGGACTAAACCAGGACTAAAGCAGGACTAAACCAGGACTCTAAAACCAGGACTAAACCAGGACTAAACCAGGACTAAACCAGGACTAAAATCAGGACTAAACCAGGACTAAACCAGACTAAAGCAGGACTAAAGCAAGACTAAACCAGGACTAAACAGGACTAAAACAGACTAAACCAGGACTAAACCAGGACTAAAGCAGGAACTAAAACCAGGACTAAAACCAGGACTAACCAGGTCTAAACCAGGACTAAACCAGGACTAAAAACCAGGACTAAAACCAGGACTAAACCAGGACTAAACCAGGACTAAACCAGCAGGACTAAAGCAGGACTAAACCAGGTCTAAACCAGACTAAACCAGGACTAAAACCAGGACTAAAGACCAGGACTAAACCAGGGACTAAAATCAGGACTAAACCAGGACTAAACCAGGACTAAAGCAGACTAAAGCAAGACTAAACCAGGACTAAAGCAGGACTAAACCAGGTCTAAACCAGGTCTAAAACCAGGACTAAACCAGGACTAAAACCAGGACTAAAACCAGGACTAAACCAGGACTAAACCAGGACTAAAAACCAGGACTAAACCAGGACTAAACCAGGACTAAACCAGGCAGGACTAAACCAGGTCTAAAACCAGGACTAAACCAGGATAAAGCAGGACTAAACCAGGACTAAAATCAGGACTAAACCAGGACTAAACCAGGACTAAAGCCAGGACTAAACCAGGACTAAAGCAGGACTAAACCAGGTCTAAAATCAGGACTAAACCAGGACTAAAGCAGGACTAAACCAGGTCTAAAACCAGGACTAAACCAGGACTAAACCAGGACTAAAGCAGGACTAAACCTAGGACTAAACCAGGACTAAACCAGGACTGAACCAGGACTAAACCAGGACTAAACCAGGACTAAAACCAGGACTAAACCAGGACTAAACCAGGTCTAAAACCAGGACTAAACCAGGACTAAAATCCAGGACTAAACCAGGACTAAACCAGGGACTAAACCAGGACTAAAGCAGGACTAAACCAGGACTAAAACCAGACAGGACTAAACCAGGACTAAACCAGGTCTAAAATCAGGACTAAAGCAGGACTAAACCAGGTCTAAAATCAGGACTAAACCAGGACTAAAACAGGACTAAAACCAGGACTAAACCAGGACTAAAGCAGGACTAAACCAGGACTAAAACCAGGACTAAACCAGGACTAAACCAGGTCTAAAACCAGGACTAAACCAGGACTAAACCAGGT